CCCCCTCCGGCACCTTCACCAGCATGTGAATTTGCTCACTGGATGGGAGCTCCATGTTGTTCTTCGTGTAGAACCACGTTGCTAAGGTCTTTGAGCCTAGAATCTGTTCTCCGGCCATCAGCGCATTAGTCGTCGGATTCTCCTTTCACCAGCTTCAGAGCAGCCCGATGCTCGTCTGGGAGCCACTTGAGCCTTTCCTTCATCTCTTTCGCAGAAGGGCGGTAATCAGTAACGACCTCTTTGCTGCTCTCCTCTACCACCGGGCTGCTTCGCCAGGAAGATCTGCAGCTTGTCTGCATCGACATGTTTGAGTTCGTTGGGCTTTTTTTCCTTGATCGCGTCCTTAAACTTGCTTCCCTTCGCAGCATCGTCGACCTCCACATCGAACGAGCTTCCTGCTTGACCAGCGATCACGCACTGTATTGAAGCCACTACCATTTTTCCTCGAGGCGGCGGATTCTCTTTCTGGAATGAGGAAGAAGAAGGGTAGAAAAATCCGCTCGTGTTGAAGCGGATATGAAGACGTGTTACATCCATGTACTTGTAGACTCCCTGAAGAACAGCTGGCGATACATGAAAAAAAAAGAATGAAGAAAAAACTGCCAGCGTAATGTGCTGTTAAATCAGAATAAAGTTAGAGCACCATAAGCTTACAACAATACAACAGCGTACAAGCACCCTTATATGACTCGTGCACCCTTCATCTGAAGAGCACCTTTAAACAAGGAAATAAATTACCAAAATATCAGCAGACAGAGGCGAAGTTTTACGACAGGAACAGCAGACGGTGGCGAAGTTTCACGATAGGGACACACATTTACAAAGTCTGTTATCTGATTCCCGTGCGTTCTTCAGTCCGTCGTCTGATTCCCGCGCCTTTCCGAGTTTTGTCGTCGGATTCACGTGCTTTTTTCATTGCAAATACCAAGGACGATGGATCACCAAGTCTTGGTGATCCAGCTGCTACGTTCCAGAGCCCCAGAGCTTCAGGAGATGCAAGACAAGATGCGTATGGTGGCTGAGGCACTCAATGAGCTTCAGTAGGCTCGCGAGGAGCTTGAAGCAATGCTTCTACGCGAAACCAAAGTCATAGACGAGTTAAGTGCACGCGTCGACGCTGTCCCTAGGTCAAGTGGTTATACTCCGTCGTACGGAGTGCTGATGAGACAAGTCATCATGATCCTAACGCACGAATCAAGAAACCAGTGATGTGGTAGCCTACGTTGAATCTTACAGCAAGTGAAGGTGTGCACATGTGAACAATGCTGATGAGTAAGGCAGCTTTTATTTTTTTAATTGACGTTGACAACATTAATACGCATTGCTATATGCAGTTGACGTGATCATTCTTCGGTGAGCACATTAACCTACTTCTTAGTAATCTCTTTTGGGAATGGCTCCTTCGCTCCACTTTTCGAATGCCACTCCTCTAGGTAAGGCCGAAGCTTGTCCTTCCATGTGCCCTTCATTTGTTTCCTATACATTTGCTGGTGTAGGGTCTCGTAGAAATGTACACGCAGTGTAGTGGGGGAAGGAAACTTCCACAATAATCACTCCCCAATGAATTCTGCTGAGATGCATCGGTAGAATCAAAAACGGCGTCTCAGAAAGCCACTGCTTGGGTGCCGTGGGCCATATCATTAAGGACGACAGCGCGACACAACCCGTCAATGTATCTGCGATCATGTTAAAAGCCATGTCGATAACCGCATCGTTCACCATGACATCGCGAGCAATACCAGCCGTATTATCGATAAAGTTGATAAAAGAAGAACCAGATTTGGTCTTCAACATTGTCATCAACGAGGGCCCAGAATACTTCGTTCGCACAGCGTCGGCCAGGTTTTGGTGCGCTTTGGCAGCTGTAGAGTAGATCAATCCACTAATTTTAGTCTCCAGTGAAAATGGTTCGATCGGGTGGGCTTGCACTAGGCGCCATTCTTGCTTTAGCCACTTCATATCCTCCATTGCGCTTCTCGCTTTTGATTTGAGTACGTAGAAGTGCTTGATTTTGTGCAGGTAAAAACTAGAGCACATACATATAAGAATGATTAACAAAAACACTCAAATACGGTGATAAAGATACAGCACCTTTAACTCTCAGAAGTCATTCTAGATCTTCGCGAGTTTTCCACGTATCTGTGTAGAACGAGACAGTTTGACCCGAAAGAAACCAATAACACCCATGGCGCGGCTTCATCATCTTACGCCAGCATCTCTCTCTTTTGCACCATGACAGCATCGGCCTTTTTCAAAAGGGCTTCTGGTATGACGAACGCGTGATCCATGGATTTGCTGTCGATTGCTTCTTTGGCGACTTCGCACGTAGCCATACGAGCTTGATAAACTTGTCTGTCATCCGCACAGGGTACTGATCCAGAACATTCGATACCTTCTCCACATTTGGGCAGTAATTCGCCCATTGGATGATTTGAGTCAGCGTAAGTCGTGACGTCCAGCGCAGACCCAAACGGGCGGCAAACTTTGGGAGTGGTTTCGAGGAATCCCGCCCTTTGCTAA